GGAAAGTCCTGAAAGCTTTTCTCTTTATTAGGAGGAAAAAAAGAAGTGCCCAGACCTATAGGGCAGGGGCAGCATTTTTAATAATGCTTTTAATATATCAATTGAATCAATTTATTGAGGATGCTAAAAAGGAGGAAAAAAATAGCTGTTTTAAGTGTTTGTATATCACAGTGTGTGCAATTCACTACCATTTGGGGTTACATATTTCCAGATAACTATAGCCTTAATTTCATTTATTGAGTAAAATTGCAATCCCAAAACCTTTTTCTAATATCTCCTCCTTTTAATTTTTCTCCTGACTGAAGCAGTACCTAGGCAGTCATGCTAAATAATTGCTGGGTAGTAGCCATGTTTCTCCGATTCACTTTCAAAGGGGAGAAAAATGGAACTTCACTTGAACGTAGAAATCCCACCACAATGTCAGTGACTGATCTTCTGCCATAGTTAGCTCTAAGGCTTAGCTTGTCTTCCCGATTCACACAAGTTTTTACATGTACTCAATGAAAAATATACTACAGAAAAAATACAATCAAAGTACCTAGTCATGAGAAATAAAGCAATTCTTGACGGTGATTTTTTTTTTTTATATAGTTGATCTGAAAAGTCTTTGTTACATAAACGGCTCATTATCCAAAATTCAGCAGACTTCAGAGGTTTCATACATAGGCGCAGTCTGAGAGCCCTTCATCCGTGGAAATTCCGTGGCCTTTGGTGGCTGCTTATCATGCTTATTGCTGCTTATCGTACTTTTATGATGACTTATTTTCCACCTTTCATAAAAGTAATTTGCAAAAATGTATATGCTAGCATGCTATTAATGCATGCACTTTAAAACTTGTGCAAAAAAGTATAGTCTTTTACCCTTCTTCAGAAAGATCTAGTAGCGTACTAATAGCAATATCTCAAATTGCGAAAACTGAATTTATTTACAGGTATGTGAAAGTGTTCTAAGTACATGTACATATGTTAGGAATCACAGGTGTGTTTCCCAAGGCTGGCTGGAGCAAGCACCGCTTCTAACTGTCTGCCTCACCCCTTTGCTGGAGGCTATGAGGGAACAAGGTGTATTTCTACTCCTCAGCTGTTGCAGTTTACAACCCGACATACTGAAGTCATCAGTGGTGATACTAAGAATCAGCTTGTAACCGGGAACAAGTGAGGCACGTCTACATGCCTTACCCTTGTAGGGGCATTAACTTCCAGTCCTAGGGGAGCTGAAAGTAGTGTCTGTTTCAGCCAGGATAGCCAACTGCCTCTGGATAGACAAATGCTGGCGTTCAGTGCCTGAGGGACGGTGTATACCAGAGGGCTTACAGAAATTAATTGACAGGCAGCGTGCAGTTGATGGCATACGCTCATGTAAAGCTCTGTATAGGGTCAGGAACTGTCTTGTTTATCAGATTCAATCATTTGCATTATTCTGTTTTTGTCTTGTTTTATTTTTTAACTATTTGCATTACACTGTTCCAGGCTCAGTGTCAAAACAATCATTTGTAATTGGATTCAGTGGCTTATCTCTGTCTGTGAAGTGGTGCATTCTGTGATGCGTTACCTTGAAGATATATTCGGAATTATTTCCTTCCCTCTAAAGTGGAGGAAGGACTTCAGCAATATAGGATTTCAAGCAAACTGGATGCATCTGGTTTTAAAATACTTGTTGTATTTTCGTTTGTGAAGTATACCTACAAGTGCAGCTGAATATACCTGACTTCTTCTGACATTTCATAGAAAACTATTGCAATGGAAGGGCAAGTCTTTTTTCTCAGATTAGGCCTGATGCATTTTTTAAAAGAAAAAACAAGGAACTTTACATAAATCAAAAAAAAAAAAATACTGTAAGCAATATCTGGAGGGAATGATTTGAGCTTGCATTTCTTTCTTTTTTAGTGAATGTTTTGGAGAGTTACGGAATTTCAAGGTTTCAGAGAATCTGAGATTAGTTTTGACTGCATTATCAGTCTTTATTATAGTAATAAGATGGCAAGAATAGGAACTAATGTTAATTATTCTCTGCAGGAAAACTCTTGGAGATCGTTTGAAGCTTGAAGAAAAACTTGGCACGCTCAGTGTGTCTGATACCACAGTAGGCAGCAAACAGGCAACATTCAAATTAAAAAAGGTGAGCTATATATATAATTTTTTAAGATAATACACAAGTAACTTTAGTTTTTGCATGAAGGAACAGGAACCTTAAAACCGTCAAACAAATGTCCCTCTTCATTTCTTTATAAGCTGCCAACTCTTCTGCTTTTTGCCAAGAGAATGAAAGCCTCCGGTAGTATTCTGTGTGTTTATGCCCTTATAACTCAGGCAGCGCTCATAAAAACTTAGGTTTCAGTGGAAAATACTGGCTTCTATCTTTGCATGGTTTATTTGCAGACGTACCATCAGAAGCTTGTGACCTTACTTGACATCTGTGCCAGGACTCATCAGATCTTGGTTTGCAGGTCTAAACACAATCAGGGTGCTGTAGCTGATACACTTTCTCTTGGTTGATAATGATGCTGAGTCTCAGCATGATAAAGACAGAGCTCCAGACCACTTTTGTCATTGAACTTTTGTAACACAAATCACAAGAATGAGTTCTGGTCCTGTTCTACTTGCCAAATTGCATTTGAAGTATGTAGTTAGATTCTGCCTGTCTGTCTTTCCCATAGGAGATTTTTATTTCCTGTTGTAAGGAATTTTGTAGATCCTAGTGTAGATGTAGTGAAGTGCATGCATGCATTTGCTAGATTTGTGGAACCCTTAGGGATTGGTTTTTTTGCTAGAAAAGTGTTTTAGAATTGAAACAAGGATGCATTATAAAGGCTGAAGATCTGTATTAATCGTTTTTTCAGCTGACAAAAGGTACTTCAGTTAACACTGTTTTTCCTCAGGTAAACTTGTCTTCTCTAAAAACATTTCTCCTTACCGCTGGTCAAATACTCTTCTCATCACAGAAATAAAACTAAACTACCATCACAGGAATGTTTAAGTAGTTATTTGATTATCACTTTGGGTACACTTGACTAAAAACTTTAAATAACCAAATTTATTGGAATATTTCTACATTTTTTTTTTTAACTTGATTATTGTCTCTTTTCAGATATCCTTTTTCATATCTGTCTGATTCCTGTATTTCTGGAATTTAAAATGTGTTGAGTGTGGAATAAGTCACAGATTCCACTGCTATCAGCATTCCAGGTCTTTTACCAACTGCCATAATGGATATGTTAGTGCCTTGCAGCTAATGAAATGGGCTTTGCAGGGCTCCTAAAACACAGCTCTTTTTGTAGTAACTTTAAATTAAAAAGTGCTGAACCACAAGGTTTCTTGCAGTTGATGGTGAACAATGAACTATCAGCTTCCATTAGCAGTTTTGTGAAGATCTGGGAGTAAGGAGGGAGAGGATGGATGTGGCAGTGGTCCAGAGTGCCGTTTTTCCGTGACTCCATTTGATATGAGTTTTTTTTGTTTTTTTCAAATATGTTACTGTTAATGCATACAGAATTTTTTATGTGTGACTGTAACTGATGTTGCTTTACTGAAACACATCCTCTGAAGAAGGACTCTTTATCTCCTATGAACAGAATAACAAAATAAGACTTAAAAGTCTTCTCTCAAATAAACAGTCCCCTGCGTATATATTCTGAAGTCCCAAGGAACAGAGCAGAGGGAACTGTGAAGAATTCATGCCATGCCATGTGCTCAGTTAAGATACTTTTTTTTTTTTTTGAATAAATGAAGATAATGAAGTTGGCAAGCCAAGAAGGAATTTAGTATTACTCTGATCATTATTAACCTCTGCTTTGTGATGCCCTATCCTTAAAGTGCAGGTATATCTAGGAGTAAGTAGAAAAATTTGGTGGAGGAAAAGGGATTTCATAGAATTGATATCATTTGACCTGGTAGGTCAGTGGAATTGAGGCGGAATATGACTGTTGCACTGTAGCTGTTGAGTCATGTTAACAGCTCTCCAGGTGCCTAATAACCACTGACAAATCCAGCGATACAATCGTTTGTCATTGATACTTCACAGTTTACTTTTCAGGGGGTTTTATTATAGTACCTCAGTATTGCATCCTGTTTTTCCAGTTTCAGCATGCTTTATCATAGCAAATAGATATGATAAAATAACAGATTTTCTAAACTACTTAAAGAAAGGAAGAAAGGTAGAGTACTTTTTTATTGAAAAACAAAGCTTTTAATGCAAATCAAGCCAGTTTCAGCATACTAGCTGTAACAGTAAACGTTAAGAAATATTTCTCAAGACTGTTTCAGATGAAGTCTGGAGACAGCAAGGAACCACTTATATTTTCATATAGTGGATTTCTCAATCCCCACTTGTATCACTAACTTTTATTACCATGATACAGTTACGAGTTTACTGCTGCATTTGTTAAATTGGTTCGTATCTCACCTCTGCCCAAATTGTATCTATGCATACAAATGTCCAGGTCCAGTTCAAACTTTTAATGGGAGATTTAGGGAGAGATGAGCAGATTTTTGAGTGCTGCTGATACAGAATTAGTGGTGCAGTGGGGATGCAGCTGTTTGAATTATAGTAATTGTATCACTCTGTTAATGCAGTCATCCTCTGCTGCTGTTTTGAAGTCACTTTAATTCCTGGAGTATTTTGTAGCACAGACACTTGCCTTAGCTTGGCTAGTTCAAGTCCACTAGTTCCGATTTATGCTTAGTTTTAAGACAAGCCTTAATCTTCCAGAGATGACAGCAGTTTATGGCTGTGAGAGCCCTTTCATCTGTGTAGTATGTAAATGAAACTCTTTCAGTGCGTTTTTGATGGAGAGGAAAAACATTAGCAGAACGTGTACCACATGTGCAGAGATTTTTAATCATTTTCAAATGGAAAATCTAGAGTTGTAAACAACTCAAATCAAATACTTTTAATGTTTTCAGAAAACCCATATGTTTCAGGGAAATGAACTAATTTTCCTTTCTGTCTTTTTAAAATGGAGTTGTGCAAATATTAAATATGATAGTACCTATCTTGGTTAACAAGTATTAAATAGTCTCAGATTCTGCCCCACCTTCTTAAGCACATTAAAGCATCAATTCTGGAGTGTAGTTATATCTTCTATAGTTAGACACTGTTTTTTGTCTGAAATGCATGCTTTTATTCTGTGTTTTTCTGACATCTTCATCTTAAGAATTCACCCTGAATGACTACCTAGAGGTAGGCAGAATCAGTGGGTACAGTGTAAGACAAGTACTATAAATGTTCTTGTATTATCATTTCCAGATTTCTCTGAAGAGGTTCTAACTAAAAATGCAGATACTTGAATAATGAGGTATTACGTAAGTTTGCAAGAACTGGAGTAGAATAAAATTCCATTTTGTAAACTTTTTTGCTAAAACTACTACATTGTCCCATTCCCACAATTCTAGATCTAGCACCAGCAAAGTTTTTACTGTTTGGTGCTCAGGAGCTCTTCCAAGTTTTAGCACTGTCATTGGTTTTTGAGGTTCGGGGTTCTAATTCGTGCCTATTTCTGTTCTAATATTCCAGTCAGAGCAGCAAAAGAAACAGCAGGAGGCTGAGAAACAGCATCGTCAAGAGAGGAAGACACTCAGGCGTTCTGCTGGCCACCTCAAGAGCAAACGTGGAAGAGGGCAACGGTTTCATTGATTTATTCTATGTTAAATTTTTTAAGACACTGATTTTTCCTCTCATTTTTCATTTGAAAATGGAACTTCACAGTACAAATGTATTTGTATTTTGTTAGTGATGGACACAGAAACCAGAACTTGCTAAACCCTGTATTAACTATTGAAAAGCTTATGAAAGTTTAAATATTGGCAAAAGGGCATTGTGAGTATGGTGCATTATCAACTCCTGCATGAATTGTATTTGTGCAGAAGGCATCAGCAGCTGGTTATTGTGTAACCCTGGATGTAGTCTATATAAAAATTTATCTGTACAGCAAAGCTGCCTGTCTTTTTTTTTTCTTTCTTTTTTTTTTTTTTTTTTTAAACTCAAGCAGCGTGTTTTTGCTTTTGGAAAGGTTCTTTATTTGTGACTACTTACATCTAAGATCAAGGGTGAATTATTTTGTCTGAAAACTTTCTTTGCAAGGACATTATAAATTTTTCTTTTCTTTTATACTCCTAGAAGGGTGACATACAACTGTGTTTTTCAAAAACAGACTTTATGTTCTTAGGCTGCCTCTGTAGCCAAGAGGAGGTTTAAAAAAAAAAAAAAGAGAAAAAGAAAAAAAAAAAGAAAGAAAGAAGGAAAAGAAGTCTATCCTGAGGGCAATGGAGAGTTGGAGAGTGGACAGGTTGCATTGCTGGGAGTCACCCTATAAGAAATCTCTTTTGCCACACTGGTGTCCAAAGGGGAATCTAGAAAGGAAAGTTTTATTAAGCTAAAGTTTTGTGAACGTTGCCTTTACTTGGAATCCTTGGTACCAGGTTTAATGTGTTTTGGAAAGAAATCCGTGATTCAGTAGACATCGTGTAGTATATGTCTGCATACCCAGCACATTAAGGCCATACAGGTAGTCTCCATTCTTTCAAAGTTAGTTTAGTTAAATAGCTTCAGAAACTTGAACCTATGATAAGGAAATGATTGATTATTTTGTATCATCTTTTTGATTACCATTAGAATGCTTGCTGCTAAGCAGGATACAGCATGTCTTCTTGGTTTTCATTATCTTTCATTTACATAAATAGTCCACCACATAGAAAAAGAAATTAATTTTACCTTTGATCTTCAAGGAACTTTGTTACTGCTTTTTAAAAAGCTTTATAATTTGCCTTTTTGCTAAATCCAAAAAAAACTCTGAACTTTAGATCCAGCAAGAGTCAATGGATCACCTCAACCCTGTAAATCACTTTGAGACTTGAAAATTGTTAAGTGTTTTACTTTATAAACCAGAGAGACTGTTAATCTGGTCAGGTCTCCTGTCCAGTACTTACCACAACATTTTTGCAGTTATTTCAATAAAAACCTAACAATTATTATTTGGTTACTATTGAATCAAACTACTAAGGGAAGCCTTTTTTTTTTTTTTTTTTTTTTTAAATCTTAGCCAGATGTTTTCTGATCAGGATTTAATTTTTAGTCAACAGATTATTTGGTCGCACAGTTAAATTTATTTTCTTCTGATTTAATTTTACGTGGTTTTAATTCCCTGCCTCTGGTTTTAATTAGATTGTTTCCTTTAATTTAAAAATTCCTTTTGCGCATGGTATTTCCTTTTTTGAAGCATACGTTATGAACAAGTCCCCTCTAAGTCTTTACGTTCAACTACAGGACAAGAATTGTCTCAGTTTTTTTTTTTTCTTCAAATTTCTACATTGTCTGTGAACCTGCCGCACTTTCTATTTAACACAGAACTACCCAGTATTCCAGTGTCAGTCTCACCTGTACCTTATATCGAAAAGTACCATTATCACTTCTCTTTAGCCACTGAGAAACTCTAAGGCAGTATGGTTGCTCCAGGGTGAGTCCCTCTTTTTGGAGTATTTTCTTTTGGTGACATTCGAACCTTTGAAATCCAACTGAAATAAGTTAAAGTATGTATTAGTGCAACAATAACATCTTTCCTCTGGAGCATTGTGTTATCGGTTGGAAATTATCTGCACACAGTTCAGATATGTTCTCTTCATAGATATACTGTACTGAACGTGCAGAGATTAATTGTGGAGTTGCCACAGCTCTGATTGATACAGGGAGAGTCAGGATTAGTTTGACAGAACTGGTACTGTAAGAACAGGAATTTGGAAGTGTTCACCTGTAAATTTGTCATATTTTTATATGCAACGTATATAAATTGTGTATATATATATATATATATATACATATACACAATACTGCCATAGTAAGGCTAATTAGAGTTAAAAGCTTGGGTAAGGAATACCAGTCATTCTGGAGAATAATCCTAGAAATTTGGAGGTCACAGACAGTATTTGTGAATGAGAGCATGAGAGCTGGATTGAGTGTCTGAATATTCTTGAGCTTCATACTGAACTTCACCAGTTGTGATGTACCCCTTCAAGAAAAAAGGCTGTACTGTGTCTATAAATCCTTCAGTATGCTTATCTTTGTCCAGGAGCACCCGCTTTGCGGCTGGTTCTTCATTCAGCAGTTTCTTGATTTGTGCACTTGATTGCTTAAGGCTTGTAAGAGATCCTGGTGGAGCAGGATAGTCGCATGAGTTGATGGGCAAAACTCTATATAATCTGCATCTTAGCCATAACTGAATTCATGCGCTGTTAGGTAACCAGTGGACCAATATAGGTTTCAAAAAAAACCAGAGAGAATTGATCAGTAACAGGTTTCTGTGCCAAAGGTTGTTTTATGCTGCTGTTGTATTTCTGAAGGAAGTACGTATCATTCTAATGCATGCATGTGGACACCTGACATGTCTCTAAAGCAGAAAGTATATAATGTCAAAATTAGTAAATTAACTGAGCTAATATTTAACCTAAGGCTACTTTTTCCCATGACCTAATTTAGGAATTAGAGGTTTTGATGCCAGCAGATGCTTAGAATCAGTGATACCCAGAGGAGTGGTTTTCCTAGCCTTGGTCTGACTAGAGCATGTTTGAAAGAGGCCAGTGTTCTTTATACATTGCTCACTTCAGTGAGGAGAAGTGTTAAATGTTTGTATTTTGGTAACAGAGTTGTTAGGCATGGCTCCTTCAGGGTGTCCAACGCTTGAACTCTGGAATACAGATGAGCTATTGGTGGTAGGCTGTGCTGAGCTGCATGACATGCATTCAAGCCCAAGATCTTTCAGTGAAATATGATGACAGATCCTTGCAAGCCTTGCCTTTGAAGTGTGAAGGAACAGAAGAGTGGGCTGCTCCACAAAGGAAAGGGAGCTGGGAGCTGAGGGTAACAACAAGGCAAGCAGGGGCAGTGACCTCTCCAACAACGGGTGCAGTCCTGCCGTAACCAACCAAGAAGAGCAGGGCAGGTTGGGTGACAGTAATGAGGTTCAGCCAACAGCCCAGATTACCAGATAAGTCCATAGCGACAAGGACAGGTCCAAGCTCAGGTCAGTGGGTCAGGACCAGTGAGGTGCATGGGCACACCTGCAGCACAGCTTAGGCAAAGACCAAGGCTAATGCAGCTCCCAAGCAAAGGAGGGGAGGTCCCCAGAGAGGCTTCTCAGAGCTCTTCCTCGTACAGCTCTCTTCATGGCGGTCTGATCCCCGCTTATTTAGCTGAAGTGTATCAGGGCTGGCTTTGAGCACAGGCTGCCAGGCCCTTGGCAAGGTGTGGGAAGAGGTAGAAGAGCCTGTTGGTGCACTCAGGGCCCTAACATGAAGCACATTTCAGATTCTTCAGATCGATAAAGAAGGTTAATGTCCTTGAACAGCTGTTTGGGGGGAAAATCGAGTTTCAGTTGAAGCTGACATATTAATGGAATATCATTGCAAGCAATTAACTTCATGATACAACCTAAACAGGAGTTCCTTAGGTATCATCCTGATTATATCAGCCTTTTTCCTGTTAATAGTACTTCATTTTCAATCCTACAGGAATAAGTATTGGTCCAGTATTGCAGGTCCTAGAAGCTCAGCAGCTGCTGGGATCCTTTTGACATTCAAGGTTGATTACTCTAAGGCAAGAATGACCAGATGCTACGGCCGTGTGGAAACCCTGATTATTTCATATGTATGAGAATTTAGTGCTAATAATCTCTTTTAAAAACTCACTATAAATTTTCAATTTCAATTTGGTGGTTAGAGATATGTATGTGAAATAACAGCAAGACAGAGAGAAGACCTGGATCTGACATGTCCCCTATGCTTCAGTACCATCTTACTCCACAAGTAGTATAGTTGACTTCAGGTAATCTGTTGTCATTGAACTGAAATTATTTGTGTAATGTTCTTTCCAAAATGCTATGAACAAACCAAGAAGCCTATTGAGTTCCTGTTGAGTTCCGATAGTTGTCTGAAATTGAGAGCATTTATCAGTTTACACAAAACAATGAAAGAGCTTACAGCACCTTTTTTTGTATCTGAAAATAATAGTGAAATATGATTTAAAATATTTCCCTGTATAAATATCGAGTGTATTTAAAATGTATATATACTTTTTTTTTTTTTAACTCATGGAGTTCCTCTATGTATGGACTTTAAAGTAGGTATGAATTGGAATTACCAACTTCAAGAAGACTTGTGGGGGAGATTGTAACAGTTTTCAGAATATTCCATTCCCCTTTCAGAATATTCCATCCCTATTTTTGTTCTCTCTGTTCATTCACCCTAGATGGGGAAAAGGAGTAGTAGACTTGAATTCCAGGAAGAAAGACTCGGATAAACTTTCAAATATGGTAGGATAGTGAAGCAGTAGAATAGATGAGTGAGGGAAGTTGTTTAATATCTGTTGAAAGAGTGGTAATGTCAGATTAAACATCTGCAGGAATCACATAGGTATAGTGAAATCTGCCTTGAGGAAGAGGAATGGATTAATGAACTTCAGAGGACCTCTCAAGCCCAATGATTCTGTGATTGGTTGTAGGACATAAGAAATAGGCATGCAGCGTTAATTGACTGGAGTCATTTTTCACCTTTGTCCCATCCCTCAGCTGAATCACTCACCACTTCTTTCTTTTTATCTCTTTTCATAAAGATTAAATACATTTTTTGGCTTGTTTCCATAGCTAATATATTTTGTCTGATCTTGGGAAGTAAGATTTTATAAGCTGAATGAAAGCACAGAAAATCTATTAATAAACTTTAGCTCTTGATCATTATCTCCGTTTCAAAGCCCGTTTCACTCAACAGCTGACTCTCTGTGATGAACATGAAGAAGTAGCCCTATTGTATCACTGAAATGAACGATTTATTGTACAGCTGGCAAAAAATAACCAGACTTAGCAAAGCTTGTAGCTTACACAACTGGAGCAACACGAATCCCAGCATTTTAAAAACATTGTAGTTGGATAAGTGTAAACCTTTTAACGCTACTCTGTTCTTAAAAGTCAGTCTGTCTATAAAACCGGGTATTGCTAATTTCCACACCCCTTTCCCAGACCTATAATTTAGGCTTTCTCTCTGCCCCATTCCTCTCTTTGATGGCTGTGCTCGTTTTAACTGCTTTTTATCTTCCTCTTTTATTTTTTAATTTGGCCCAGATCATTGATCCACATGGAGCCTAGTGGCAAATCTCTCTTGATAGCATGGAAAGGTGATAGAGGAAGGGAAGCTTGAAC